GGAGGGAGGGGGAGATAAAAGCGCATGCGCAGTTCTGAATGAAGCCCCAGGTGGAGCTCGTGCTGCACCTCTGAGGCCAGGTGAGCCGCTCCTTAGCGGGGGGCGGAGTCAGAGCCGCGAGTGGGAGCCTGCTTCCGGCCACGTGGTACTGTTTACAACCAATGGGAAGACTTCATGTCACCCCCGCTTCCTCACCCTGGCAACGGGCGGGTGACTACTTCCGGTGCAGTGAGGGCTCGGGGCTGACGCGGGTGAGTGTCCCTCTTTCTCACGCTGGCCGCCGCGCTGCTGCCTCTGCGCTGCTGCCTCTGTGTGGGCCCCGTACGCTCGCTGGGACGTCGTCTCCGGGTCCGAGAGGGGGCGGCGCACAGGACACCCCCTGACCTGGGAGGGGCTAGAGGAGGGGGCTAGGATGTCCCTAATCCCCGGGTCCTGGTCGCTCTTGGCGGCCCCGTCGTCCCCCTTCCCAGCCTTATCTCCGGCTTAGCGTCCTCGTGGCCACCGGGGAAGGACTGTCTGTATGTGGGGAGTTCTCGCAGTCCTTCACCTACTTTGCAGTCTCGGTCTGGAGATGTCTCAAAGTCCGAGGTTAACAGAGAACCGAGAATGTGCGCCTTGCCGTGGGTGGCGGGTTGGGGGCAAGGTAGCTCCTTACTTAATTATAGAGGCCTGGCGAGAGTCCTGCGGGTCGTTAGTATTTACTACTGAGGTGGAGGAGGAAGAGGAGGAGGAGGAAAGGACCGAGAAAACGGAGTAAATGGAGAGGAGGGGGAGAAGCAGGAGCTGGACGTGTTCTGGAAATCGAGGGCATCATGTTTCCGGAAGGAGGGAGTTCAACTTTCCTGTCTTCTGTAGGGGAGGAGAGGGAAAGGTATTTTAGGGACCATTAGATTGCTGTATTATTATTCTTTATTAGCTAAGGAATTTTTACTCATATTCTTGGGAGTTTAATAATTTATCTTTTTGTTGTAAATAATTTTTTCCCCACTACTTACAAAAAGCAGTGCTTATTAAGGAATATCTGGAAAATGCAGAAATAGTTATGAAGAGATCACCTAGTTCTGCCAAGCCAGCATTTTGATCTTTTTTTCTAATATTTTATTCATATTAACCTACTTATGATCATAGTGTATGCGTGTAAAATACGGTTATAACTAAGAAGCACAGTTACGTACATTGTGTCCAATGCACGGATAGATTGTCTTTTTTCCTCTTGAGAAAGTCTTATTAAGGTATTCATACACCAGAAAATTTATTCTTTTAAATTGTAAATTTCAGTGGTTTTTCTCATACTCACAAAGCTACACACCCATCACCACTATATACTTTTAGAACATTTTCATTACCCTGAAAAGAAATCCTGTACTCATGACAATCACTACACATTAGATTCTCCCCTTTCTCCCCCAGGACTTGCAACCACTAATCTACTTTCTGTGTCTATGGATTTTCCTATACTGGCATTTCATATAAGTGGAATCATAGAATACATGGCCTCACTTGTCTCATGTCTTTCAGTTAGTATGTTTTCAAGGATCATCAATGTCTGTGTATCATTATTTCCTTCTTTTTTGGGGATGGGTAATGTTCCAGTGTATAAATATACCACATTTTGCTTAAACGTCATCAATCGATGGACTTGGGATTGTTTCCACTTTTTGGCTATTTTGAATAATTCTGCTATAAACATCTGTGTACAAGTTTTTGTATGGATGTATGTTTTCAGTTCTCTTGGATATATACCTAGAAGTGGAATTGGTGGGTCATATGGTAACTATGTTTAACTTTTTGAGTAAGTGACAGATGTTTTCCAAATTGGTTGCACCATTTTACATGCCCATCAGCAGGTTATTGGAGTTGTGATTTCTTCATATCCTTGAGAGCACTTGTCTTTTTGATTATAGGCATCTTAATGCTTATAAAGTGGTAGCTTATTGTAGTTTTGATTTTTGTTTCCCTGATGGGTAATAATGTTGATCGTCTTTTAATGTGCTTATTGTCCCTTTATTTATCTTTGGAGAAATGTCTATTTAATTCCTTTGCCCATTTTTAAATTGAATTGTCTTATTTTAAAGTTGTATGAGTTCTTTCTATATTCTAGATGTAAGTCCCTTTCCAGATTCATGATTTGCAATATTTTCTTGCATTTTCTCCCATTTTATGGGTTGTCCTTTTACTTTCTTGAATGGTATCTTTTGAGGTACAAAACTTTAAAATTTTTGTGTGGCGACCCAGATCTGTGATCCTAGAACTTTAGGAGGATGAGGTGGGCGGATTACCTGAGGTCAGGAGTTTGAGACCAGCCTGGCCAACATGGTGACACCCTGTCTCTACTAAAAATACAAAAATTAGCTGGGCATTGTGGTGGACACCTTTAATCCCAGCTACTTGGGAGGCTGAGGCATAAGAATCCCTTGAACCCGGGAGGCATAGGTTGCAGTGAGCTGAGATCAGGCCACTGCACTCCAGCCTGGGCAACAGAGCAAGACTCTGTCTCCAAAAAAAAAAAAAAAAAAAAGAGAAGTTTAAAATGTTGGTGCAGTCTGATTTATCTGTTTTTTTCTTTGCTTGCTTGTGCTTCAATGTCATATCCAAGAAACCATTGCCAAATCTGAGGTCATAAATATTTACCCATGTTTCCTTCTAAGAGTTTTATAGTTTTAGTTCTTACATTTAGGTCTTTAATCTACTTAGTAATTTTTTTTCAAAGACTTGTCAAGTGCAGTAGGGAGGATATTTACGGTTAATTTTTCTGTATGATGTGAGGTAGGAGTTCCGTTTCATTTTTTTGCATGTGGATATCTAGTTTCTTAGCATCATTTGATGAAAGGACTGTCCTTTCCTCCATTGAATGGCTTTGACACCCTTGTTGAAAATCAGTTGATCATGAAAGCGTAGGTTATTGATTTCTGAACCATTTTTCTGTATTGAACATTTAGGATGCTCCCAGATTTTTGTTCTTCTAAATTATCCTGTGTTAAACACAGTATAAAAGGCATAAAACTGGCTGGGTGTGGTGTCTCACGCCTGTAATCCCAGCACTTTGGAGGCCGAGGCGGGCAGATCACGAGGTCAGGAGATCAAGACTATCCTGGCCAACATGGTGAAACCTCATCTCTACTAAATACAAAATTCCAAAAAATTAGCGGGGGGTGGTGCCCGCCTGTGGTCCCAGCTACTCAGGAGGCTGAGGCAGGGGAATCTCTTGAACCCGGGTGGTGGAGGATGCCATGAGCCAAGATCGTGTGCTACTGCACTCAGCCTGGGCAACAGAGCAAGACTCCGTCAAAAAAAAAAAAAAAAAAAAAAAGCATAAAACCTTTTCTTTGTTTAGTTCTTTTGGTAAAAAATGTTCTCAGAAGTGGAATTACTGGTTCAAAGATGAATTTAAGTATGTCCTGGAGTTCATTTAATGAGGCATTAAACCTTCAATATCTTGAGTGAAAACCAACAACACATGCCTGTAATCCCAGCACTTGGGGAGGCCTAGGTGGGCAGATCATTTGAGGTCAGGAGTTTGACACCAGCCTGACCAATATAGTGAAACCAGGTCTCTACTAAAAAT